TTAATGACGAGGGCACGTTGTGTTCTGCAACGTCTCTCTCTCTCTCTCTCTCTCTCTCTCTCTCTCTCTCTCTCTCTCTCTCTCTCTCTCTCTGTGTGTGTGTGTGTGTGTGTGTGTGACATACCCACACAACGCACCCTCGGTGCTCTTGTTTCCGCACGCTTGCTTGTTTGTTTTGTTTTTTTTTTGTTTTTTTTTTGTTTTTTGTTTTTTTTGTTTTGTTTTTTTCAATCAGGTCCTTATGGCCCTGACTCCATTTCCATTCTGGGGAGCATCAGTCCGGTTCCTATTCCACCGGCAAGTCAGGAAAATATTACAACATCGAACACCCACACATTCCTTCCGTCTGGCCGAAGTAACCCTGATCAGCATTGATTACTCCAACCGCGTGGAGGATTGACTGTCAGCTTGCCCTGCTTACACCTTTCCTCTTAGGACCACTATAAGAACCTGTCAGATAAAACGTGTAAAACAAGAAAGGTCTGAGAAGCTACAACTGCTGCCAATGCTGTCTAAACCTTAAGCCTCACAAATAAGCGTTGTGAAATCCTTAGCATTCTAACCCCTGCTTGTCTTGTTTCTGTCCAAACCCTCAGCCCTAAACCCAAACCCTAAAGAAGATTAATCTTTTTTCATGTGATCTTTGTGAAACATCGGCTGCCGCCAGTCGCGCATGTATCTTGGATGCTCTTCTAGGCCCAGATTGGGGCTGATTCCTCAACTACCTAGGTGTTCTGCGGGGATACCAACTTGACCGAATTGTGCCATTCTTTCCATCATAAAACGTGCCCATTCAGCCATGCCACTTTGTCACCTACCAACCAGATCCACTTGAATTTAGCAAGTGTCACCTGTTCTGTCTCTGGATTGTTCTGCACCCAGAGTTTAACCTTTCTCCAATGACAGAGGATTTCCGCTTCAATCTTCTCTTTGGTTGCTGCCCACACTTTCTCCCGTGGGTTCTTTTTTTGTGCCATCCAGAGTTCTGCTGCATCCCTCCTTCCATATGGCCCGTAGTGTGACCTTGCGTACCATCCCGAACCATATTTTCTCTGATTAGCCGAAGTTAGAGGGTAAATTAGTCCAGAGGAGCAGTTGAAGGGGGTGCTCTGGGAGGGGAGACGAGAACAAACTATCCCATAGTGCTGCTGCTCTTGCCCAATACTCTGTGGCTCTTTACAGTTAATTAGGCAATGTATCATGTCTTCCTGTTCTTGATCTGAGCAGACGGCACAGATATCAGAGCTGGTTGGATCGTTCTTTCTTCTTCTGACATGTAGCCACTGATTGACCGGTAGAGCAACATATGTTATGAGCCACTGCATGCTTCTGATTTTTATAGGTCTTATTGTTTTATATTTTTTCCATGGGATTTTTGCTATCTGGTCTGCCTCCGAACCAATTAACTTGCTCCATCTTCTTTTGATTGTTGGGTCGGGGTCCTTTGTTTTTAACAGCATCTTGTATCCCAGCTTAACTGTGTACTCATATATTGGAATTGGTGGTTTGGTGGTTCTATTTCGGTCGGGGGGCCAAGCCCACTCGGAGGGATTGAACTCGAGGTCTTGGATTGCTGTCCCTGTTTGAAATATCTGCTTGGGCCAGAGTCCAAGTGTTCTTATTTTACGGAGAGTAAACGCATTGAGCACTACTCTTTCAAGGTTGATATTCTGAATGCGCAGTTCATCTGGCTTGGTCTTCAGGATCAGGAAGGATGTGAAGACGTCTCATGGCCCTGGTCCTGATATTCGATGGGAAAATTGGTAGGCCGTTTCGGGGGAGGCGTCCTGGATTAGGATCCACGTGAAATCCTCCTTTAGTAGCTCTGCCCAGCGCCCAGGAATACTCTGTATAATCTTTTGTAAACTTTCATCTCTGTGGTGGCAGCCTTTTAGTCAAGTTTTAATCTCATTTTCGTCCAGCCAGTTCTTCCTTTCCTCATTCCGGATGTCCCCTACTCACCAGACACCATGTTTGATCCATGACAGCCATTTGTTGCCTCTGTGGGCGAGAGTCCATGGGTGGTCACCCTCGTCTCTGATCCAGGGGTTTCCAAACAGAGGCTGCCTGAGCACTTCCTCTTTGGGTCTGGGTTTGTTTCGTTTCTCGGGCATGATTTCTCTCCAGATACGTATAAGGGCCGTCCAATAGGGGATAGGTGTCTGGTTGTGCGATGGGGGAGCGCTAGTCCCATGTCTTCTCCTCCCTATTCTTGAACTCCAGTCCTTGTTCATGACCCAGAACAGTCCGGACATGTTAGTGGGGGATTCCGTTGGGGCCAGCTTCCTGATGCTATCTTGTGCTAGTTTGTTCCACGACAGTGATTGAATGGTCAGTAGCTTGATGACCCACTTAATTTGCAAGGCTTTCATTTCTTGTTTGGGGTCAATAATGCCTAGTCCCCCCTGGGTTGGTTTCCTTGTGATATAGTGCCATGCTATTTTTGGGATGTAGTTTTCTTTGTTGGGGTTCCCTGACCATAAGTATGCTTTGGCTTTCTTCTTTAGATCTTTGATGGTCTGGTCTTGGTGTTGTCCAAATGGAGGCTATGTACCACATCATTGAGAATACGGAGGTCTTAATGGTAAGAGCCCTACCCAGTAGTGATGTAAATGCAAGACTCCATTTCCCTCATTTTGTTGATTTGACCGGCTAGGAGATTCTGTGTCATCTGGGGAGCAGGACAGTCCTTTGTTACTTGGACCCCAGGTATCTCGTTGGCTCCTCCGATATCTCCTATGACATCTGATCCTCCGGTCCATGAAGCTGTGGGATGGGTTCGTTAGATAACCACCCTACCATCTTTACCCAATTTATCTTCATTTATGAAGCCAGCCTGAACGCTTCCATTGCTCTGACTAAAGCTGCCATGGACAAGTTGGAAGCTCGTATCAGCACTATTAGATCGTCTGCAAACATCATTACTGTAGGAAATATGAAGTGGTGTGAGGAACCGACGTTCAATTCTGACAATCTTTGGATAGATGGGTCTTTACGGAGGAAAGAGGCTATAGCTTCCATGACGAATAGAAAGATAGGCGGTGCTAGCGGATCGCCTTGTCTTACCGACCTGGAGATTGGGAATCCTTCGGCAAGCAACCCGTTGATCTGGACGCATCTAGAGGCATTATTATATAGGAATCGCACCCATTTCCTGAAGTTGGGACCTACCCCCATTCTTTCCATACTTGCATCGAGAAAATCCCAATTTACCTGATCGTAGGCCTTTTCAAAATCGAAGAAAAAAATTGTTGTGGTGATTTTCTTTTCCATCACGTCCTTGGATGCCTCGTTGAGGGTCAGTACATTGTCCAACATATACCTACCTGGTATAAAACCCGACTGGTCTATGTGGAAGCATTTGTCCGTCATGTCCAATATGTGGAAGGCTAGGGCTTTGGCTAGTATTTTATAGGGAAGTGTGAGAAAGGATATTGGTCTCTAGTTTTTAATGTCTTCCCGATCACCCTTCTTATACAGAAGAGTCACAACACTGGTGCTGAGGACTTCGCCCGTACCCTCTTTTTCCCAAGTATCGTTGTAGAAATTCATAAGGTTCGAGGCCGATAGGGGCCATAATTTCTCCCAAAATTTCTTTGTCAGTCCGTCGATGTCTAGGGTCTTATTATTATTCATAGTCAAGACCGCAATATGTAGCTCTTCCATGGATAACTGTTTATCCAATTCGTTTGCTTGCTCATCAGATATTGTCTTGTCTGAGTATTGCAACATTTTGGATCTGGCCGCTCGGATATTGGTAGGGGTGGTTGTTGGTGTTTTAGATCGATAAAGTTCTTGGTAGAAGTTATTTGCGACCTCTAACATCCCTTCACTGTTCGTGCGAGTTTCCTGTAGGCCTGTTAACTCCTTGAGACCCTCTATTGAGCTGGACCTGTTGTTTGCTTTTATTCTCGAAAAGAAATGCTTGGACATTTGTTCATTTAATTCGAGGTCAGTCATTCTGGCTCTGATATGTAGTCCCCTCAGTACCCACCGACGCCACACCTCTAGTTCTTCTCGTGTCCTTTCTAGTACATCCGTGTACATCTGAGAGGAGGGGTTGGTAGCTACATTGTTTTCCGCTATTCTGAGGGCCGTTTCAAGCATTAATTTCAT